TTGCTCACTGCCAGCCCCAAACTTTGCAACCTGCTTCACTGAAACTCCGCTCCCCCGAAGGATCATTGCAGCACAAAGGCAAAGACAAACAATAAGAAAAAGCTGGTAATCCCAATCTAGAACACAACGAAGATAGTCATAAGTAAATCAATAATTATAATCAACTCAAAATCAATCAAGGTATTTTATTTAGAATAATTATATCTCAATAAATCAGCATAATCAACTCAATGATATTTTAATAAGGATAATCATCAACTAACATATTTAGCACAACATTAATAACAATATTACATAGATGATAATAATCACAACTCAAATATTTATCATAATCAAATCAAGTATCAAATTCTATTATTAATCATGTTTAAGCTCATTTAGTGTATTTAGTGATAAGAGAACCATGGTAAACCCGGGAGTCTTTGTTGCCAGCCTACCCACGTGACCCGGGAGACCCTGTTGCCAGTCACGTATAATCAAAATTGGCCATCATCAAAATATCAAATCCTAATTTGCACACCTCTTCACAAAGTTGCTACTAGTACCCTGGGAAACCCTGTTGCCAGACACCACTTTGGGAAGAACGGAAACATCATTGTCGCATCATGTATTATCAAAGGCATAAAGCCCAAATGTTGTGTTCATCACTTTAGGAGGTACCATCCCAAAGCTATCATCCCACTAATTAATTACAATCACACACAATCATCAAAATTCAATCATGTCACAATTATCATATTTGAAAACTTCTTTGAATATTATATTTTCTATATCAATTGCTCAAGGGCATCATAATTGTTCAATTATCTATAATTTTCCAACTTCTATCAAAAACTAAGGTCCAAATCATATCAATTATCCATCATCATAATTTTCCAACATCTATCATATCAATTATCCTTCATCATAGTTTTTCCAATTTATTCAAGAATATCATAACTCAAATATCCAACATCTATTTCAGAAAGCCCAAATCCACTCATCATATTTCCAAGGTAGCAAAATCGTAATTTCCACAATTATTCAATAGGATCCATATCACACATATATGGCACATAATTAATCTTCCGAAAGATACCATAATCATAATTTTAAAAAATTTGAATTATTCCCTTAAAATAATTACATAACTAATCCCATTATTTTCTATTGTTTAGAACCCAATAAAGTTCCCAATAATATAATTCATAGTTATCAAATGCGGATTGCGGCATGTCGCGGCCAACCCCGAAAAACGCTATAGCGTTATAGCGAGTCGTGGTTGCGAAAATAGCGGAATAGCTATATGATAGAAATAATGACAAAAAGAAACATTTTTTAAAGACAGAGATAGCAGAAGTGACAGAGAGAGACATGGATAGACTAAAAAACCCTTAAATTTTTTATGTTACACATTTAAATTTAGGACAAAATTAACAGTTTGCCTTATGACAACAATATGGCCGCAAATGCAATGGCAATGGTCACTATTGCGTTCCGGTGCAGCGCGGAGCGGTTTCTTGCGGCGAGGCACCGCAACGCCCATACGGCGCGGCTCGCGGCGCAATGAACTACTATGATATAATTAACCTAAAAATTATACCCAATAAGTTCCCAAATAATATAATAAATTTATAAATAACCCCATTATTTTCTAGGGGTCAAAACCCAATAAAGTTCCAAAATAATAATTTTATAAATAATTAAACATCAGGGATTAGGATAAATTTTTATATAAAACAAAATTATAGTGCTCTAAGTATTAGGATTACAAACAAAACTCAAACAAAACTCATACAAAAGATAACCTACAAATATATAGGGATTATGGTTACATATAAAAAATTTCATATATATAAAATAACCTAAGAGAAGCAAGGAATTCCAAATTTTATATACACAAATATCCTAAGAGAACATAGGGATTAAGATTACCTATAAGGATTACACCCAATAAAATTTCATAGACAACAAACCTGCAACCACCTAGGGATTAGGATTACCTGGTGATTTGAGTAGAGAAGCGGTTGATAACCAAAGAAAAATAATGATTTGAGCAGAGAAGTGATTGATAACAAAAGGAAAATAATAAAATAAAAATAAATAAAATGAAATAAAATATTGAAATAAGAAGAGAGAGTAGCAGAGGAGAAGAGGAGAAACACTGAGAATTGGTTAGGGTTAGGCTAGGTCTCTATTTATAGCTAAAGTTTAGTGCTCAGACATGGGCTGGGCTTTGTACAATTATTTTTCTTTTCTTTTTAATTTTCTTATGGCTCAGAATATCGCTGACTTATCATATCTAATCAAATAAAGATTGTTAACTCATCCTAATTCAATCACATTACCAATCAAACATTAATGCATAATCATCAATCAATGAATAATTTAATTAATCACAATTTATTATTAGTCCTAATAATATATATATATATATATTATTATTACTAATTTATAATTTATTATTATTATTATTAATATAAATTACCATCATTTTTCTGGAATATTACACCAAGTGGGTAGGAGTTCGATTCCTGTTACTCTCGTTCTTTAAAATAACAAAAAAGAATTTCGACATAGATAGAGTTGGTTTGTGCATTGTCTATGCTTTAGGCTCAACGGGCTCTTCCTTGAGAGGGTGAGTGAACATATACTGGTTGTTAAGGGAATTGTACTCACCAAGGTATATGCTATCCAGGGATGCAGAAATTTTTTAACTTTTACCACCTTTAATATTAAACCAGAATATGAGCCCAAATTAGGATCTGGGATGAACCTTGAGCTAATAACAATATGATATGAAGATACGTACTTGGATATATCACTAATAAGAGAAAGAAAACTAGCTGCTCCCTTTCTTATTATATAAATTTGTTTGGAAGGAAGGGCATTGTAATAGTTTCGATGGTGGCAACGGCAAGGAGTGTGGTGATTTGGTTGGTGCTCTGACATGGACTGTTGGGAATTCTCAGGGGAAGTTCTAATGGGTCAAAGCAAAGGAGCTCAGTCATGGAATACAAAGATTGTGACTGCTTTTAGCTCCTTCATTTTTCATATGAAGATTTTATGCCTGGGTATGGGGTAGGGTGGGGGGTTCATGAAGGATAAGATTAGAGGTGAGGTGAGGATGATGATCTTGAGTGACCTTCACACGCTCATGGCATTACCACAGATGGTGGAAAATAGAAATCGGGCTTTAGGTCGTTCAAGTGGGTATCCAGCCTGCGGGTATGGACCTAATTTTCAGATACCTGCTTGGGCTAACAGAGCAGTTGGGGTTTAATACCATACTGAGGGAACCAGAGAAGAACAGAATCAGCGGAAGGAAGGAGAGAGTGGAGAAGAAAGTGGTGAGGCTAGTTTTGGGTTGGAACATCCCTATTTGCTGCACTGATTATGGGAAATAGTGGTGACCTTTCTAAGAAGTTTTGGAGTACAAAGTATCCGAACCTGACCCCTTTCATATTCAAAATTGGCCAAGGTTCAATTATCAAAGGATGTGTGTTATTGTATTCTGCATTATGGCCAAAAATGCCAAACAAAACCGAACATTAAAAGAAAAGGGAGGCACAAGGTTCACTGGAACCCAATGACAGTTCTTCAGCTTCAAGCATAACTTGGTCAAGATGAATCTTTTAAAGGGGAATATTGTTAGGCCTCATACAGTTATGTTAGAAAATAACATAAACTATTAACAAGGCCTTCACCCAACACCTTAAGGTTTTGGGTTGAAGTGGTTCTTTACATAGTATCAGAGTTTCAGTGACCATAAGGTCACTAGTTCGATCCTCACTGCCTCCCTCCCACTTTCAAGTGGAATTAAATAAGCACAAGGTAAAACCAAAAAAATTGGGCTTCTGCAATATCCACGCTTCAAGCCCAAAGGGCTCTTGCATGAGGAGGTATGTTAGAGAATAATATAAACCATTAATAAGGCCTTCACCCAACACCTTAATGTTTTGGGTTGAAGTGGTTCTTTACAGGTTATCTAAGGAAGCAAGAATTAGGTCGCAAAGGGCCCCGATGGGAATTTAAGGTGTAACCACCTACACACGTGGCAGGTAGGGCTGAGGGAGGTGGGAAGTGTGGTGTGAAATATGCCAGTGGAAATATAAAAAAGGCAGCAAGTGTGAGAGAGAGAGAGAAAGGGGCAGGCAGTTATTCAGTAAGGAATTGGGGCCTTAGGGCGGGGGAAGCAGACCCTCGAGGCTCTACAATATTTCTATCTTTTGTTTTCTACTTTTCAGTGTAAATCAGGACAGAAGCTCCCTGTTTTCCTTTAATCTTGAGAGGCACTTCTAAATCATTAGTAACTCTTGAAAAATTTCTCCATTTCCTCCACCGTGCTTGAATCCTATTTAAAATTTGAATACATTGTTGTTTAGGAATTTTTATCGTGTCTCTTCTATCTTTTTGGTCGGACATGACTATTTTAACGATGATAGAATCTTTCCTGTTCATTCATTTCTGTTCCTTTTCAGTCGTGAACCACCAAATCCTCTTGCAAACGAAATGGACATAGAAAATTGGATGTATTAATCTCCGTGTTGATGTTAATTACTCTTTGTAACAAGTCCATTCGTTACAATAGCATGCTTGAACTTCCCTTTGCAGAAGGTGAGTGTTTGTTATATTTTTGACTTGCAGTTCCTAGCTTAATCTTGAATACCACTTACTGGTCAATTGCCATGGAGTACTGGGCCACCTTTGTGAACAATTTCAAAACTAATTTTGATATAGTTAACAAATGCTTGCTGTCTAGTCACTTCTCTTTAATATGTGGGACCCATCTGATTTTTGTGGTGGAATAACAATGAAGACCTCAAAGTTTGTCACCTTTTTCAGAATTAATTGTGTATTACCTTTCATTCATTTGCTCATATAATATAATTATTGTATTAGTACCATCATATATATGCATTTGCTGATTATGAAAATACTTTTTCCTTCAAAATGAATGCTCAATCAATTGCTGCTATTTCTTTTTTTCTTTTTTCTTTTTTGTTTAAAAAAATGGACAGGCTGAAGTGCTTAAAAAAAAGCCCAAAAAATCTCTCTATGCAAAAGCCACTGTCACTGGAATCGATCCTCAAGTGGCTGCAAAGAAATTGAACATGGATTGGGATTCTGCTGCTGAAATTGAGGATACAGATGCTGATGATGAGTCAGAAGTGCCTCCAGTGGTGGTCAGTTCCTAACCTGCCTAACAGATGATTTGTGATTCTACTGTTTTGCCTGGTTTGTTTGGTTTGCCATCATGACTATTACTCTTCGGATTGTGATGCTGTAATTGTAATCAAGGAACATTTGGTGCAGCCATAAACATATATAAGATCTGTCGATTATTTTAGTGCGTGCCTCTACATTTTTTGCATAGAGACTAGCTATTGTTTGTATTGGAATTAAATGATTTAGAGCACGTGTAATGTAGTATTAATAGCTATTACCCTTTATTCATGTGCTGATTAGCTCCTCTTGTAATAAATAATGTACAGAGAAAAAATCATCTAACTAAGTGGGCTGAGTACACACAGCGATTTACCTCCAATCCTCCTCTTTCTGTTATCAGTGGTTCAATGATCCATCACACTGTGCTTCTCCAGTGTCCAGTAGTTTTTTGGTGCTTTATTCCTTGGCAAACAAATATGCCTCCATCAGCTGAGATTTTTCGGCCAACACCCTCTCCCACCTGCAACCCCTGAAGAACCCACCAACCGGCCCAACCCTGACACCCACAACCTTTGGTTTCTGCACACATCCTCATGCTCCCGTTCTTTGCTCTGCGTGTCTTCCCATGCTCTGGCTCGCGTGAACTTGTGGTGCCTTTTCTGGCCACCATATTTTTCAGTGCCTCTGCCGGTCATCCTGCTATGCTTTTCCGACCTCACCTCACTGTTTTTTTGTTTTTTTTGGATATATCACCTCACCTCACTGTTCTTGGCTCAAATCAATTAGAAAATTTATCTTCATGCATTGTTCATGTGATTCATTACCTCACCTTCTGAGACAGACCTTTGTTTACTACACTCCAGCATCCTGTGCCCTAATCTTCACCCAGTCCACCTCTGTTGCATCTTTGCCGTAGCCCATGTGAAAAACTGGTGGGTTGCAGCCAATTACAGATCTTGGGCCACTGTTGTGGAGACGTAATTTGAAGGGCTGGGCTGTTAAGATCACCTTGTCAAAAAGGCTAAGGATATTCCTACCAGGGACCAAGCTAAGTGGAAACCAACTGACTTCTTATTGTAAATATTAGAATTATAATAATTCTAATTATTTTGTAATAGTTAGAACCCTATTTGCCTCTCGCTGCCACAAAGCCACTGGAAATTTTTTTCCGGGGACCATGAGGACTCCTGTTTCACTCCGTTTTCTCAGATCTATCATTCTACGGAGGTTTCTTTTTCATCAAACGACCGGAACAGTTAAAAAATAAAAATAAAACCCTTACTGCTCACTCGACACTGTTCACCGACACTGTTCAAGCGTACTGTTCATCTGAAAAAATAAAAATGGAAGAGAAATTTATTTTATTTTACTGTTCTGATTGACTATGTTTGGTAAGATCACACACCTTACATCTCTATTTACTTCTTGCACTAATTTCAAAAATTCATGGATTATGAATTCTGGTGCAACTGATCACATGACCTGTCTAGCTAATTCTTTTCTTTCATATCACCATACTAGTGGTATCCGTACTATAGCTGTAGTTAATGGATCCCACAAATCAGTTGGGGTTCTGGTAACATTCAAATTCAACCTTCCTTATTTTTAAAAAATGTTCTTTTTTTTCCTCAGCTCTCTACCAATCTTATCTCCACTTATAAGCTTACAACTAACATGAATTGTGCTGTCACCTTTTTTCTTACCCATTGTGTTATTCAGGATATCACCACGGGAAGGACGGTTAAAGTTGCTAAGGAGCAGGGTGGGTTATACTATCTCATTCCAGAGCATGCTACAAGGGATACCGGGAATCAATTATTGATGAGTCATCACCCGCCTACTTCATTCTCACAGATTTGGCTTCATCACAAATGCCTAGGGCACCTGTATTTGGCTTATTGAAGTCAATGTTTCCTTCTTTGATTAAGGATTAATTAATTGACTCCTTCCATTGTGATGTTTGTGAGCTTGCAAAACACCACCGTGTGCCCTTTCCTTCAAGTTCAATAAGAGTATTGAGCCCTTTACTCTTGTCCATTCGGATGTTTGGGGCCCTTCTAAAGTACGTAATATTTCAGGTGTTAGGTGGTTTGTTTCTTTTATTAATGTTTGCACTCGGGAGACATGGATATTCTTGATGAAAGACAAGTCAGAAGTACCAGAATTGTTTATTCGATTTTATCAAATGATCGAGACACAGTTTGGTAAAAGTATTAAGCGATTAAGATCTGACAATGTTACGGAGTATGTCAACCAGCGTCTGTCACAATTCGTTTCAGATAAGGGTATGATTCATGAGCTCACATGTGTGGATACCCCTCAACAGAATGGGGTTGCTGAAAAAAAAATCGACATTTGCTTGAAGTCACCAGAGCATTATTGTTTCAGACATATGTACTCAACTCTTATTGGGGAGAAGCCTTATTAAATGCAACCTATTTGATCAACCGCTTGCTTTCCAGAGTCCTTGGCCATGTAAGTCCTGTTGATCTCATGACCTCTTTTTTTCCTTCCGTTCCAATTATGCAAAGTCTCCAGTCTCGTATCTGTGGATGTGTTGCCTTCGTCCATATCCATAAACAATATCGGAGTAAATTAGAGCCTAGAGCCTTTAAGTGTGTCTTCCTTGGTTATGCTCCCAACAAGAAAGGATACAAATATTACCACCCTCCAAGTCGTAAATTCTTTGTCTCTATGGATGTTAGCTTCCATGAATCTGAGTCTTACTTTCTACACTTCAGGGTGAGAATATTATAGAAGCTTCATCCATTTTCTTCGAGTCTGAGTCTTCCTTTCTGTTACCTACATCTTCTACTATAGTAGTTACACTACATAACAATGAGAAGGAAGACATAATTTCTGAGGCTGAAAATTTATCTGATTCCTCATGTGACATGCCTCCTATTGATAGACAGAAAGTATGCAAAGCTGGGACACCCGAAATATTGTACCAAAGGAAGAAACAACCCACACCAGCAAATGCAATCGCCTGAACCGCTGGTAAGTACTGAACACACTACTTCTTTTATTCCTGAGCCTGATATTAATTCTGATGACTTGCTGTAAGGAAAGGGCAAAGATCTTGTACCCAACACCCTATTTCTCATTTTGTCTCCTCTAAGAATCTCTCTATGCAGCTTAGAAGTTTTATTACAGCACTTGACTCCATTTCAATCCCGAAATCAGTACATGAAGCATTAAAGGATGATAATTGGGTTCAAGCCTTGCATGAGGAGATGCATGCATTGGAGAAGAATAATACATGGAAAGTTGTTAGCAGGCCAAATGGAAAAAGGACAGTAGGGTGCAGATGGGTGTATACTCCGAGGTATAATTCTGATGGGACTCTTGAGAGGTATAAAGCTCGACTGGTAGCCAAGGGATACAAACAGACCTATGGCATTGATTATGAAGAAACATTTGTTCCAGTAGCCAAAATGAACACTGTAAGAGTTCTATTGTCCCTCGTTGCTCATTTTAGCTGGGATTTGAATTAATTTGATGTGAAAAATGCCTTCCTCAATGGTGAATTAGAAGAGGAGGTTTACATGTAGATTCCACCAGGATTTAACTCTACAAATGGAGATAATAAAGTTTGCAGGTTAAAGAAGGCATTGTATGGCTTGAAGAATTCCTCGCGTGCTTGGTTTGGAAGATTTACCAAAGTTATGCTTTCATTGGGATACAAGCAAAGCCAAGGGAGTCATACACTTTTCTTTAAACATTTTCAGGAAGGTAAGACCACTATCCTTCTAGTTTATGTTGATGACATTATTATAACAAGGGATGATATAGGTGAGAAATGTACTCTGAAAAAAAGACTGACTGTTGTGAAGTTAAAGATCTTGGAAAACTGAGATATTTTCTTGGGATAGAAGTTGCTCATTCAAAGCAAGGGATATTTATTTGTCAAAGGAAGTATGTTCTTGACCTCCTTAAAAAAGCAGGAAAACTTGGGTGTAAACCTTCCAGTACTCCGATCGAGTAGAATCACAGACTAGGAAGTGAAAATGAGAGCTCTCCAGTTGACAAAGAACAATATCAACGAATAGTGGGAAGATTGATATACATCTAGCACATACTCGACCTGATCTAGCTTATGCAGTTAGTGTTGTTAGTCAATTTATGCATGATCCGAGGGAGAAACACTTGCGAGCTGTGGACAGGATTCTCCAATATCTGAAAGGCACACCAGGTAGAGGACTATTGTTCTAGAGAGGAGGAAACCTATCCTTAGAAGTTTATATAGACGCCGATTAGGCTGAATCCATGACTGACCGATGGTCCACTTCAGAGTATTGTATATTTCTTTGTGGAAATCTTATAACATGGAGAAGTAAAAAGCAAAATGTAGTTGCTAGATCAAGTGCAGAAGCAGAATTTCGAGCTATGACTCAAGGTATCCGTAAGTTATTATGGCTGAAAATCATTCTCGATGATCTCAAGGTGAGATATGAAGGATCTATGAAGTTACTTTGTGATAACAAGTCAGCTACCCGTATAGCATACAATCCAGTTCAACACGATCGAACCAAACATATTGAGATTGATCGCCACTTCATTAAAGAGAAATTAGACAGTGGACTGGTCACTACTTCATATATTCCTTCTAGTTGTCAATTGGCTGATGTCTTAACTAAGGGTCTTCTTAATGATAGATTTCAAGAACTTACTCCAAGCTGGGAATGATAAATATCAATTCCTCAACTTGAGGGGGAGTATTGTAAATATTAGAATTATTTTATTATTATTTTGTAATAGTTAGAATACTCTATAAATGTATTTGGGCTTAGCCCATTAGGTTTTTTAGTCTCTTTAAATAGAGAAATCTTGTGCAAATATTATACAATTCAATAATATACAAATCTTCTTTTCTAGTATTCTCTTTGTAGTGTCTTGTGGTTTTCCATTGAGGCTAAAATTCAGTTCCAATACTACTTTTCTAGGACATACTATGATGTTTGGGCCAAGATCAAAAAGTGTTCTCCAATGATGTCAGCTATCTATACAACATTGT